CAATATTAAAACTGCAACTGAATGTTAAGAAATTGAATACTCTAAACAGGAGCATGGTAACTACAATAAAGATATTAAAGGCTGAAAACATAGAATATAAGAAAACCATTGGCATACTTAAAATTGAAAACAAAAAATTGATGGATGTAAATAAAAAGTTAACTGAATTTTAAATTGTGAACCCAATATTTTGATCCCAAGCCGCCACTGTCTAAAACCAAATACTAAATAACGTAGATAAATATTTAAAACTCGGACTATTGCTTGAAATGTTAGGAAATGTTCTACAATAATTTCAACATATCTTTTATTATCAAGAATTGAACGGTTTTCTTTTATGTTAATATTATAAAAATGGATTTAGCATTTATTTTTATATAAGACATTTCCTAACATTACAACTCACTGGATTGCTGCATAGGTACTACAAATTGCTTTAAAATAAAGTGTCATATGCTCTTTTTTTTTTTCACTTAATTATTTAAAGCGGTAGTTAACCATTCAAAGGGGTGACCTGAGTTGTTTCGTCAAACATTTTAGATTTAAAATTAAAAATTAACGTGTTTCAAAATGTTTCAAATCGATATTTTAAATCAAAAATAAATTTTAGGACCATACCTACTGTTTAATAATTTTATTTATACAAATTATTTGCTCACCAACTATATGGCGGTTTTCGAAAGCCTAACACGTTTTGAATCATTGATGGTTGAAATACATAATATGGCATCTAAAACGTCCTAAATACTTTGGCCATTTCCTTGGACAGACCTGCATAATTCAGCCATTTTATAGATCAAATGGTGAGTTTCTGTAAACCGCAAATATTAAGACGAAAGTTGATGGTTACTGAAAGGAAACGACCATGAAATATTCATCATATTTTTACATTAACTGATGTGAAATGCAATAGGGGAATATTTAAACTTTACTAGTTAATATAATACGTGTTCGAAATTAAAAAGTATGTAGAAATGAGGCAGACGTTTCAAATATAGTGAGTATTCTAAAAATCAAATATTATCTTTAATTTTAAATAATAGAAATATGGAACACTTTAGATTGTTTAGGATAGTATTAATAATAATCTCTCTAATTCATCTCCTCAACCAGAAAAGCTGAGCTTGTCCTGGTTATTATTATTATTATTTGCTGTGGCGATCCAGAACAACTTTAAGATAGTCCATCATAATATGAATCATCTGTTGTTGAAAAAAATGTTCATTCAAGCTTCCTTCTATTATCATAAATTAGAGGCATCAACTGTGGATAACTTTTTGTTGTCTCTTTCTAAGAGGATTTGTTCAGATATTTCTTCTTCTCTTCTCTTCCTTTGTATGGCCTTAAGTCACGCCTTGTCTGAGGCAGCACCTCCGGATAACTTTTAGTTGTCTCTTTTTAAGAGGACTTGTTTAGACTTCTCTTCTCTTCCTTTGTACGTCTTTAAGTCACGTCTTGTCTGGCTTTGGATCAATCATTTTGTTCCTCGAATAACTTTACCTTTAGGGTGATTTTGTGTTTTATGTAGTGTATGTAACTGACATAATTACTCGCACTTGCAAGGCTAGCATCAATATTATTTTGTTTAAACGTGCTTACTTCAGGTACGACTGCGTTTTAAATAATAGTTATTACTAAAAGCTCGCGCTTGCACAGAGGCGTATTCAGTATTTTCAGGTAAAAATATATCTGGGAAAGAAATGTTCAATTTTTAAATAAATTATTTATTACTTTAGAGATTCAAAAACGGATTTAATTATTTCATAAATTTCATAACTTTGTTATTTTTTATCAAAACTAAAAAAAAAACAAATTTATAAGTTTTCGAATAAGGTATTGCAGACAAAAAAATGTATTTAATGCTTTAATTTATTTTTAGGTCACTGTATAGAAAATAGAAGCGAAGTAATAATCAAGGGATCAATCCAATTATGTAGAACAGTTGACGCGTCCGGTAATTCATGGGATAATTCGTAAATGAGTTATAACGGAAATGAAATACTCGTACCTGTCAATAATGTCAGATTGAGAATTATAAACAAGTTATACGATGATAAATACGATAAACGTTCAAAATTCATGTTCGTAAATTATGTAGGTCAATATTTTAATATGTTGTGAACTATGCTCCATTTACTCTCGTGTTTGAATGGTTTATATTCCAGAGATTAACGCCTTATAAACTGTGAGAGAGCTACAACTTTATTTTAAAAGTTTAAAGCTACATTATAATTAAAGTAGTATTACTTTTTTAAAAATATTAATTAAAGAGGGTAGTAGAAATATATTTATCTTTTTAATAATATATTTAGTAGCTAATTTGACATAGCATATAGGTTTTTATTTTGTTTCAAGGAATATCAACTAAATGATACATTAAATAATGTTTTTTAGCTCTGCTATACCGTCTCGTTTTTATCAAGTGACTTTTCTAACATCCAAAGAGAATTTTTCCGTTCAAATCACCAACCAAATTTACTATTTCTGTCATCAAAACCTTTTTTATACCTACTTCAGCTTCTTAGTTTTGTTAACTGTTATAAATGCTTTATAGAATGCTTAAAATTTCCCATTTTCTTTAATTTGTCTATCCCAGTAAGATAATAGTGAGATAATAGTGAGATAATAGTGAAATAATAGTGAGATAATATTGAAATAATAGTGATATAATAGGGAGATAGTAGTAAGATAATAGTGAAATATTAGTGAGATAATAGTGAGGTTATAGTCTTAATACAAAAGTAAAGCTAGATTTCTTGTTACATATTTAAATTATTCACCTTCTAGTACAAAATTCCAAATAGAAAAATAATTGCTTTCTAAAGCTAACGTCAAAAATAAGTTAAGTCCATTATTATAATTAATTTTAAATTGTGTAATTCTAGGATTGTTGGACTACTCATGAATTAATGAATTTATCAAAATAAACCAATATATTCATAAATGGAAATGGCGCAAAATATGTTTTATGTTTTTGTTTTAGGTTACTATAGCTACAAGAATAATTAAATTCTTTTATAATTTATTAATACATTTCCAGTATTATTCTCTTCTACTAAATTAAAAACGTAAAACACTATTGACAATGCCAATAGAAAAGCGAGCAGGGTTTTACTGCCTATCATTTATTCAAAGCAGCACCTTGTTCACAAAGGATACCTTGTATCACATTATTTATCAGTGGAAGTTCCACTCCTTTGAGCTGCAGCCCAACGGTTTCCGTCTATATCTCGAAACAAGTATCGGCGGACATAAATTATGGATGGATCGGTAGATAAAATCGTAGCAACTCTTGTCTGTATAATGTGCGGCTGGCATGCATCGGTCTCTAAGCTGCTTGTAAACAATTGCACCAGCACGAAACGCAAACATATATCACCGCTTTATCTGCTCTAAGTGACCTAAAAGAGCCGCCATGAGAGCTTGACCTGGCTCTTTTATTGAATTCCCATCGAGTGCTGGTCGCGTACTGACAATGTGTCAGTGTCGAATCCGTATGTAGGCACTGAACAACACGAAGGAACGTATGAGTATTCTGGAATTATTCCGAATATGGTTATTGCATAGCTGCACGGAGAGTCTGAGGTAAAACTAGAATGGAATGTTATGGGATACAAATCGTACTTTTGGTAACAGGTCAACACAGACGTAAATGTGTTATTTTGCTTCTTTAATAAAAATAAAAGAAAAAGTAAGAGAAAGAGACAAAAAAGTTTGAGGAAATAACGTTTTTTCAATAGTATTGTATCTTATCTACAATGTATTTACGTTTACTAGGGTTCAAGAAGAAAATATACAGTAAATCATTAGAATTTAAATCATTAGATATATATTCTTGGTTTTGGATGATCTACTTGAAATATCCATTTATGTAAATTGTTTATAGGTGTCTATCAAACTTTTGTTTCACCCTGATAAACCAATAAGTGGTTATTTTTAAAATAGTAATATTTACAATACCACATTGTAGAAATATAATGAATATTCACAAATTCCATCTGCAAAAGCAATATGGAAAGAACATAACCGGTTTGTGATTTAATATAATGGTATATTTCTGCAGTATGCAAGCACTTATTTTCTTTCTTATCTTCATGGCAATGATAAACTTCATAATAGGGAATAAACAAGAACTGCCGAAACACAAAACTTATTGTTATTAATTTTTTTAGGTTTATATAGTAAAAATTGGAATAAAAAAAAAGAAATGTAAACATGGAGAGTAAAATATTAAAAAAGAATAATCATTGCGGATAAAATGGTAGAAAAACAATAAAAATTAGTAAATTTAGATAGGTTTATATAGGTTTTGAAAAAAATAATGCATTAATTGTAGCAATTTAAATCATTTTCAAATCGTTCTACGAATCCAACGTTTCGCAGTTCGAATTCCAGTCTAAGTAATATTACTAGACTGTTGGGTTTTAATTATCAATACCGTTCCTAAGGTGGCGTTGGGAATCAGTAACAAAATCTACACAGTTGGGACAGTTTAATTTTGTAGACACCACCAAAGCCATGAAACAAAAAAAATTAATAATATAAATTCTTTCTTTAGTAATGCAAATATAGCATTTTTAATGTAAGTAATTTAATTCGTCCAATACCAAATAATATCCCGTTTTTATTTATTCCGTGTTATTTCATATCCTTAACAGAGTCTTAACTATCTGAAAAACTTCCCACATTTTTCATCTAGAAGGCGCCGAACAGTGAATGTAATATAAAAACATAACTGTCAAGATTCTAGATTAGACACGTCCATCAAACACTGTTCAATAAAGAAGTGATGCAGGAGCGATGTTTCATCATGTTTTTATCTGTTTTCGTTTATTTCACATTTCCTTGAATAAAAGCCCATCTTTACAAATCGTTTTATGAAAAATTTTTATTTATCTGTTTGTCGCTTACACCCGACTAAGGAAATTTAATTATGTTGTTTTTTTCTTGATGGGTTTATAGTCTATGAGAAACGGATTTTTAAGACAATTTATTTAAAAATGGAAAATAAACATTTAACTATCTTGAAAGCCGCCAATGTAGAAATCGAACCCTACTGGCCAGGTCTTTTCACCAAAGCCCTTGAAGGTGTAAATATCAAAGAACTCATCACAAACATTGGATTTGGAGTGGGCGCAGCCCCAGCAGGAGCTCCTGCAGCAGCTGCACCTGCTGCCGGTATCTATCCAGCTCCACTTCAATGGGGTCTGAATGAACCAAAACTGCACCTTGTAGTTATAATCAAACTTTCTTTGGTTCTGAAGTATATCCCCAAAAAAATGGAGAAATGTAAAAGTGGTCTTCATACCCAATCCTAGAAGGATTAATTAGACTGTCCCACTGACATTGTTTTTCATGAAAACATTGATAAGGCTATGCGAAAGGTGTATAATTCAATTTGTAATCACCACAAACAGATCTACTGATTTAGCACTTCATCCAGTTGCTAGTCGGATAAAGAGATCTCTTTTCAATATTAATATACAAAATAGATCCAAAATGATTGAAATATCAACCAATAGTGATCAAAATGTGTGATATATGATATGTGACAATAGGTTTAGTATCATAAACAAGAAGATCTACATTTTTAAACCACAGAACAGAAGGTTATCTCAACAAGAGGTTGAAGATTGAAGAATTATTGAAATATAAAGATGTAGTGTGGGTACGTAACAATTATATTTTTACTATTTCCTTACCTATTTTGATACTAAAATTAAATATATAATATTAACAGAATTATCCACTGCAAGTTTCGTCGAAGTAGACTTTGTTAATTTATTTGCTCGTCGTTTCTTGTGTCTTATTCCGTATTTAGCAACGTCTTGGCGTCTTTATGAAAACTCATATTGCAGTGGTTGACTATAAGTAGTTCAACGGTGCACAGAGTTCTGAGATGCAGAGGTAATGAGTGGAAACGCCTGAATTCATTTGAAGTTTGGATACTCGACAAAGTTAACGTATAAATGGAGAGCCTCAGTCAAAGGATTACTCATCGGCAAGTAAACTATTTGTCTTAAGCAAACTGGCGTATTATCTGAGAAAATCATTTTCGGATTATTGTTGCCGTATTGACATTAGTTAATAATCTTGAAGGAAAGTTATTCGAGAACCGTTTAGTCGAACAAATCTTATTACTTTTTATAACACCTTCTTGTTTGATTGTTCTTCTTTATTTTGTAAATACGTATATATTCTTGATTTTTAAAATTACATAATAATTGTGATCCCCACATAATCTTATCTTTAGTTTGGATTTACATGTCATTAACATTCCAGTTTAAGAAATTAGAAAAATTAGAGTTATATCTAACAAATCTTGAAGATTTCTCAAATACAGTTAAAGAAATATCTATAAATTTTTGGAAGTCTTCTCTATATTTTAAATTAAAAAATTATTTACAAGTCCAACTACTGATATTTTATGCCTAAAATTATCCCACTGTTACCTCTTCAAGGAAGATAGACATTCTTTTCTGCAGGTTATATTAAGAAAGTTTAATATCTAAACCTAGCACATTTATAAAAGATTATCAATTTAAGATTCTGTAATACGTAATAAAATTGACTTTTCTTGACAAATTTTCGTGTAGATGATAATTTAAAACAACACCTTCCATCGGGAAACACTTTCCAACCTAACGCTAAAAACGTGGAGATCAATACTTTGGATTATGTCGCGCTCCAAAAAATTGAGAAACGAAATGGGAATAGGAAGTAGCTTTAAGGACGACGGATGTTTTTTATTGCCGCCAATAATAAATCGGATTCCTTGCCAATATATACGGAACACTTGTAAATATTTTCGAAGATTGTCTTTTGCTTGCTTTCCGTATATTGATTAGGATTATCTGAAATGTTAATTCAGTGAATCGTAAAATATGTTAATAATTTATTTATTTATTTTCAATTAAGAATGATGCCACTCAATTGATAATAAATACCAATAAAGGAAGAAAGTGCAAAAGAGTGGGAACAACCCCTTCTTCTCTTAATTATATTTGCAAAATTGACTAAATTATATTTAGATCCGCCACGAAACAAAGCAGAGAGAAATCTCATTTCATAACTTCGACATCAAGAAACGTAAATAAACTTTCCTATTTAGAATTACAATTAATGAAAGTTGGGAATCCTCACCCAATTATTTACTATTCATTACGGTTTACATAAATTATTTCTCGACATTTCGCTTTACAATGATTAACGAAATAATTAACACCAATATCGTCTTAAAATAATTAATTATAAAGGACGGATGAACGGAAAGTTACAAAATTCAATTCTCAGACGTTATTTTACGTACAGAATTCAACTTTGTAGAGAACTTGCTTTTAATTATATATCAGGCGAGTATAATAAAAAGGCCAGGAGGTATAACCGTCTTATTGTCTGATCCGAGGTTGAGTTATTGGAGTCTGCGATGGAGGCGGGAGATGACGAACTTTTTTCAAAATTTATCGAGTTTTCGAGAGGATAATAGAATGCTGGTTGAAATATGAGTCTTTAAGATCTGTTTGGAAAATGAATGTTTTATGAACTTTTTAAGAACAAAGGAACCTACCTAGTCTAATCAACAAAAGCGTGTTTTTGGGACATACTATTACGAAAATTATGTTCAATAGCTCATTCGATTCGGAATAATGTCTAGATCAATGTGCGAAGAAAAATTTTGCAGTGGATAAAAAATTGCAAAAGTTATAAACAATTAAACACCTCAACAACATGGTGTTTATAACTTTTGTAATTTTTTATACACTGTCAAATTTTTCTTCACACATTGATCTAGACATTATTCCGAATCGAATGAGCTATTGAACATAATGTTCGTAATAGTATGTCCCAAAAACACGCTTTTGAACTTGTTGATTAGACTAACCGTGGTCTGTTGCAACTATAGGAACTTGGTCATGTAAGTTTTGCACATTTCATTATGGCGTTTTTAGTATTTTTATTTGACCTGACCTGATTTTATTAAATTCCCAAATCCAAATCATAATAATTTCAACAAACCGACTACGCCTCAAAATAAAGCAAACAATAAAAAATAAACACGTTTCCAAAATAAGGAAATCATTCAAAGTGAAACGCCGTAAATAAAAATTAATTATGAATTTTTTCGCTTCGTTAAATACCGCCGAGTTCTTATAACATCTGTTGACTTTCTTCCACACGCCTTTTAGGTAAAATTTACGATGGAGCGTGTGCGTTATATAGCTTTAAAGGACGAAGAGAATCAAGAAAATTTGTCATTTGCTTCAAGTTATTTGAAAAAGGCTCGGAGTTAATCGAATATCACAGTAAACTTACTAAAGCAATTTACTTCAGTTACATTTTCGCTGTCTTCAAAGAGAAGTTAGGTTTTAATATATTTTATTCATATATCCTTTCATAACTTCTTCATAGTCTAAAATGTAAAGAATATAGTTTCATTTTATATACATGAAGCGGAAAATTTACTTTTAGCTTTACCCCTTTCATAAGAAAAGAAAGTGCTGTAATAATATCAGAGACATCAGTAAAGGGGCTATAGGAGTTCGAGCACAATCCTTATGTAAATTAACATGGGAAATCGCTAAGGTTCATTCTGGCAATTTTTGACGGTGACGTCACACGTCGAAACGTCAAACGAAAACGTCGAAACGGCAAACGAAAACGTCGAAACGTCAAACGAAAACGTCGAAACGTCAAACGAAAACGCCGAAACGTCAGACGAAAACGTCAAACGTTAATCTATACCGCGTTCTCTACATAGTGCCGTTTCGACGTTTTCGTTTGACGTTTCGACGTTTTCGTTTGCCGTTTCAACGTTTTCGTTTGACGTTTCGACGTTTTCGTTTGCCGTTTCAACGTTTTCGTTTGACGTTTCAACGTGTGACGTCACCATCAAAAATTTCCAGAATGAACCTTAGCGATTTCCCATGTTAATTTACATAAGGATTGTGCTCGAACTCCTATAGCCCCTTTACTGACATCGTCGTCGCAACGATTGTAAAACAAATTCAGAAAATTGTCGATTTTTCGATTTTAATAAAAAAAATTTCGCAACTACTATACAGGGTTATCAATAAAAAAAAAATTGCCATCTAAAGATAAAATATATTTGTAATAGAAAGCCTGTGGCTCTTTTAAGTGTGTTATTTGTGCAAGGCTAAATTAATATAGTACATTATTACCTTGTAGAAAACAGAAATAATTGCTGCAGTCTTTGATGTCTTAAAAAAACCTGTGTAGAAAATACTTTCATAGAAGAACCAGCTTGAAACATTTAGATCTTCTCTTTTTTTTTCACTATCTTAGAGGTATCCCTCTGTTCCCCCTGAGAGCTCTAAAGGCTTGAGTTACGGCTTGCCTTCATTACCTGAGGTTGGCATAGCTTATCTGCTTATTGCGCTACTATTTGGATGTTCTGATCTTTGTAAATCATTTAACTATACGAATTTTGTCACCTATCCAGACCCAAACAAGTTTAACACAACTGAACTCTGATTGGTGACCATTCAGTCAGCCAGCAATCCAATTCTATTAAGGGATCGAACTTAATATATTTTATTAAAAGACCGCTTGGGTATAATTTTCTACAGGAAATGTCGTCCTGATTTAATTCGCAAGAGTTTGTTGGTTAAAAAAATAGTAATGTCAGCAATATCACTCTGTATAGAGGTAATTTCATGATAAAAACAACGTAAAACACCATCGAGTGATTTTACTTCTCTGGACAAACATTATCAGCTATGGAAAACCTCTTGGCACCTTAGAACGTCGGTTAAAAAATACAACAAACAATAAATCATTCCCTAGCGTAAAATCGTGAAAACCAAATTTCCCAAGGTCATTTATTCGCATTGTCGATACGTGAGACGGTTCGTAATTATAGTTTATGAAGGATTTTTCAATCAGAATCACTTAAGTCCGCATGATAAATGGCCGGGTTTCCGATCGTAAGTCAGTAAAGGCGCTGGCCGGGAGCTTTCGGTTACCTGGGCGTGCGGAACAGGAAGGCTAGTTAGAGTGTTTACTCCACAAGAGAGTTATAAATCAGGAAGGTTTTTACCGCGTCGGGAGTATCGCAAACTAACCGCTCCCCGGGGCAGCGATTAGCTCGATAAGCTCATCCACGTCGGGCTTCCTCTCGATCCTGCTTTGCCAGCTACGTTACTGCTGTTCTACTGCCA